GCTGTATTGAAGTGACATTTTCTTATCTGTGTTTGTCCTGGCCTAACTTACATTGGGTCTTTAGTATGTTTTTATGTTATTTAAAGTAAATGCAGAGATTTTTGGTGCATTTCTGCTGTTATAAACTTGGTTTGCTTTGTCAGCATTTTACTTTCTTTAAGGATATTTATTTCAAGTCTGATTTTTTTTTTAAACATATACAGAATTACTACACTGTTCTAGAGTATGATTTTATTTTTTATTTGTTTTTTGTAATTTTCCTGGTCAGGATAAATAGGGGAAAAAAGAAACGTAGCGAAACATGTGAGTGTTACCAGACTTTTGCCTTCACTGCATTATTAAAATAACATGGTCATGGTTTTACCAAGAAGTCATTGTAAAGTATGCAGGGTTTGTTTGGTCTGAAACGTGGGAAAGGATCTGGGAGCGGAGTGACAAATCTAGAAATACGAGTCTGGGAAAGTCTTGATTTTGAAATGGAAATTTTGAGACCTTTCATGTGCTTTCCCCCCTTTCTCCTGTAGGCCATTCTGAATGGTATCGACAGCATAAACAAAGTTCTGGAGCATTTTAGGAGGAAGGGGATTAACCAGCATGTCATCAACGGTTACCATGGCATTGTCATGAACAATTTTGAGTGTGAACCAGCTTTTTATACCTGCGTGGAAGTGACAGCAGGGACTAGGTGAGAAATGTTTCTTGCACACATGAAAATCACCTTTAAATTAGTTCAATAAAATCATCAACAAATGGACTACAGAAGTAGCTTTTGCTTGATGTGTTTGTCGCTTGCCCAATAAACTCCATCCATTGTTAGTTAACATTGTTAGTGTGGCTTAACGTTTAACAGAACAAACCTAAACCATATTAGGTAGCAGAAAGGCAACAATGCCAACCTGGACCACTTCTGTTTTTGTTGTTATGGTGCCTCTTGGCAATAAATCTTTATTTCCCTTTAAATAGTGCCACATTTGTAAGAAAAAAAGGCATTTATGGGTTGAGCAGCAGAGTGGAGCATTTGTGTTGCTCCCCATGAGAAGCATGCCACCGTTTGAAGGGAAATGAACAGATTTCGCAGGGGTACCAGGGAGGACCATTCCTGCCATAATTAAGAATCTATACAGAAATAAATAAATGCTCAATAAATAAATAAGCAGACGATTAAATACACAAAAATGCTGTAAAAAAAAAAAAAATGTAGGCAGCAGTTAAATTATTCAATGAAACAAATTTATATATCTTAATTTAACTTTATTTATTCACCTTTGTAATAATTACCTTATTTATTATCTATTACAATTTTCAACTTTATTTATTAATGACTTATTTTTAAATGTATTTATTTATGTGCATGTTTTAATATTATCTGTCTTATTTTTCCTTTGTATTTTTTTTTTTTACTTTTTTACTCTTCTGCTTATTGGCTGGTTAGCTTTAGCCTACATAGCTCCAATCTGCATGGCTTTTCACCACCAAAAAGTATTTAGCAATGGCGAACTCGGCAGGGTTTAAATTCCTCCAGTCTATCAGCAGTTTCCCTAAGAGGTCGGACGCCGGGAAGCTGAGGTCGTTGTCTTGCTGTCACGGCGCGCTGTGTGGTGGGGGACGGGATGCGGCGCGGGTGTTCGGAGGAGGACTGTATGCTTGGCTCGCTGTATGGAGCTTCAGAGCTCTTAAGGGTAGCTGCTAACACACTGGAGGAATTAGTATGTTTAGCCAAGAAGCATTTTTGCAACAAAGCAATAATCCATCAGACACACCTTTTTTATGCTAGGTTTATAAAAATCAAATGAGCTCTTGGTTGTATGTAAACCTCCTGCGGCCTGGGCTTTATAAAGGTAACTTTGTTCTGGGAAATAAACAAGTTCTGTTACAGCTCGGAGAGTATAACGAGGTAAAACATTTGTCTTAATGAATCCAAGATTAGACACCTCAGATTAAAATGATTCCAGTTTCTGTCTGGATCATAATGGGAAATATTGCTCACTGAAAAGGTTTTAATCTTTCAGAAATGTTGCATGTTCTGTAACTGGGAATCTGTTTGTATTATTTTTCTTTGACCTAATTTCATTTTTAGAATACTAAAAACAACAGGAAATGTGTTGAGTTGTTTTTAAGATATAATCCTCTGAATAAAAATTGTAATCTCATTTAGCTCCAAACATTTAAAGGCATTTTAATAACAGTTGGTGCTTTGCTTCCTCCATCCTTCAGGCAATGTGTGTCCATTGTTCATTTCTGTCTTTTAAAATATAGCAGATTAAATAAAATATACACACAATATGATTAGCATTAAAAGTGTACTGTGTCATAATCCCTAGAAACATGTAAGAAGGATCATCTGAATGTTTGTGGCTCATTTTTAAACAGGCTTCTTATATATATTTTATCTTTTTGATGGAAACGTTTAATGTATCCAGTAGTTTTAGTAAAATGATCAACTTGTCTTCCAGACTGTTTTACCACATTGTGGAAACTGATGAAGTGAGCACAAAAATCCTGATGGAGTTCAACAAAATGAACTTACCCGGGGAAGTGACGTTCCTTCCACTTAGCAAGCTGGACGTCAGAGACACCGCCTACCCAGAAACAAATGTGAGAGCCTTGCATTATTTCCATCTGTTCATTTATTGACCCAGATCTTCGCTCTGAATGCGAGGTTCAACCACTTTTAGTTATGTTCCTGTAACTTGTCTTTGTCTTAAGGATGCCATCCCTATGATCAGTAAGCTGCGCTACAGTCCAAACTTTGACAAGGCCTTTAAGCACGTGTTTGGAAAGACACTGATTTGTCGTAGCATGGAGGTTTCCACCCAGCTGGCTCGAGCTTTCACCATGGATTGTATAACCCTGGAGGGTAGGCCAACCTTCAGTTTACGGTTTTGTAATGCTAAGGCTCTGTATCACATGTTACTTAATGTGGAACATTTTTGCATAAAGGTGTTATTGTGCAATTTTCTACTCTATTGTCCCCTATGGAATGATTGACCCAGAGGATAATATTGTGGTAGCCCTACATTATCGTGATCTGTAACCTGTTGGCTTTTTTTTTAGGGGACCAGGTAAGCCACAGAGGAGCTCTGACAGGAGGCTACTATGACACAAGAAAGTCTCGCCTGGAGCTACAGAAAGACATGAGGAAGGCTGAAGAGGAGCTGGCTGAGCTGGAGGCCAAGCTCAATGAGAACCTGCGAAGGAACATCGAACATATCCTTTTCATTAAAATCTGAGAATGTACACCAGGGAGATTTAATGGGGGTTTTCCTGAGGAAGATGTAAAACAGCATAAAAGTTAACATCAAAAGTTTCCATTGGCAACTTTACTACAGACTGTTTTTTACAGGATTACTAAAAGTGAAATGTGTTTGAGAAGTTCAACATCTCCTCGGTTCCCACAGTTGGGCATGGACTGGATGAATTTACTGGAAAATGAGTCACACATCTCCAGCCAAACCATCACATGGACAAGCAGATAGCACATACTGATTTATTGATTAATGTAAAATGAGTCACACTGGAATCCCACAAAAAGAGAGATGATATGAGATCAACCACGGTGTTTGTTTTTAAAAAGTCTAAACCGAGCTGAGAGGGAAGTCATCTGACTTTTAAAACCATAGATACAGTACGTTGTGCAATATGCCAGACAAAGTCAGTTCCAGTCTTATTTGTGCCAGTGTAAGCAGATTCAAAAAATGTTCATTTCCCCACATGAAATCCAGACAAGGCATGTTTTTATCTTTACTGGAGAATCCTTCTCAGTGATTTATTAAAGAGTAATAAAATACTCTGTCCAGCGCCACCATTTATCAATACAAAGGGTAATTATTACCACTATAATATATTTTCAGCACATACTTTCCTATATAGGATTAACTGTTAAAAAATGTTTTATAAGCCCAGATTGCTCCATCTTTCCCAATGACTCTAATTTCTTTCCACTGAAGTGAAGCAAGAACAGAGCAGCTGCAACGACACACACTCCCCTGCTGTGCTTTTGTTCCTAGCAGGTTCTTTTACTCTTTAGTTTCAGTATACTTTCATAACAACACACAGTAAATCTGTGCTTGTTGGGTGGTGGGAAACACAACGGCGGTGCCTGGTAGAAGAACCTGTTATGAGCAGTAATGTCATTCATTTTGGAGCTTTTAATCGTTCGTTGAGTCTTTCTTTTTTCACGGTGAACCTGAAAACAACATATTTACTTTAGTGAAGTTTGAATTTATTTTGGATTTTATCTAATCTACATGGGTTCAAAACTATACATCCAGGCTCAAATGTATACATCCTAGAATTTCCACATAGCAAGTTGTTACTTTGACCACATGCTTTTTTTAATCCATCAACACAGTTGACATTTGACCCTTCTACTCATCAGAAGTGGAGGAGGTCATTTAAATTTTTTGGTTTTCTGACTTTTAAGCCAATAATTGTTCAGAAGGGGTTAAGCTTAGCCAGTTTCATTGATTCTGAAACCAGTTTCGAGCGGTGTTTGGGACCTGTTGCAACATCCAGCTGTGTAGAGCCATCCGTCATTATTCCATCCCTGTTGTCTAATACATCAGCTCCACTGGTTGCAGACCCTCAGCATGATGCCACTGTGCTTGACTAATGATGCAGTGTTATTAGGTTTAACAGCCTCATCCAAACAGGGTTCTTGTCTTTGAGGCCAAATAGCTCAGTTTGTCTTGTTTCACCATGAAGCTCTCTCTATGGAAAACGTTTGGCTCGTCCGTGTGAGCAGCTGATTATTTCAGTCATTTTCTACCGCTTATTCCATAGTGGGTCACAGGGGGAGCTGGTGCCTATCTCCAGCAGTCTATGGGCGAAAGGCAGGGTACACCCTGGACAGGTTGCCAGTCCATCGCAGGGCAACACACATACAACCATACACACACCTAAGGGCAATTTAGAGTTACCAATTAACCTAACAGGCATGTCTTTGGACTGCAGGAGGAAGCCTGAGTACCCACACATGCACGGGGAGAACATGCAGAAAGACCCCCGGCCGGGAGTCGAACCCAGGACCTTCTCGCTGCAAGGCAACAGTGCTACCAACTGCGCCACCGCTGATTATTTCAGTTTTATGCATATACATATGTATTGAGAATTATGACCCTGCGTGGTGTAAAGAAAATTTACAGTAAATTAAAACTTAAAGGGAAAAAACCCATTAAAGTTATAATTTGTACATTTAGTCGACCCTGGGTAAAGAATGGTTCAAACCAATCATAAACAGCTAAATGTTTGACATTCATACTGATGAGTGTGTGTACATTTCCGACTGGCACTGCATGCTCAGTTTGATTAACTGCAAGAACTGTTAGTGGAGAAATGGAAGCTCAAAGTATGTTGGAAATAAGAACGTGTTACAAATACAAAATAAATCCTAACTGACATGTAAATATTTTACTTCCCGTGTACAAAAGCCTTATTAATAATCAGGAAGCCTGTTGGGGAAACTGGGAACACAGAGGCTCTTTTATAGGGTGATCTCATGTGGCTGAGGCCATATTTTGGACGTGGATTAAATCCATTGTGGTGTTGTAGCCGCCTCGGAAACAGCAGGAGGAGAGTTTAAGCAGGTCATGAAGGATTAGTGTATATTGGGTCATATCTGCCAAAGTCATGACTCACTTCAGGACAGCGCATGAAGGCATACCAGGCAGATCGGAGGGGATTTCTACATCCATGTGCAGTATGGTCGATTATAGTTACTTTCTCTGCTGATCAGAATCAGAATCAGAAAAGCTTTATTGCCAAGTACGTTTTTGGACATACAAGGAATTTGTTTTGGCGTAGTCGGTGCAATACAATACAAATTAAACAGTATAAACATATCTACAATATAATATAAATATATGTGCACAGTTTTAAGTGAGTATAAGATGCCAGAGCGGTACAGCAGTGCAGATTATCAGTGTGCAAGTATGGCAGTGCAAGTAAAGCAGGAGTCCAAGCTGAGCGTTAGTGCGATTTAAAATGTGTGATGTGTTAAAGTCTGACACAGAGACAGTAATGTCTATAGCAGGAAAAATCTGCTATTGATTTTAAGGTATGTGTCAGTAAGCAGGAGAAGCAGGTTCTTGTCCTTCATCCCTCCAATGAGTCAGAGAGCAGATCAATTATTTAAAAGCCTCTAGTTGTCCACTCTCCTCCTCTGCCCTGTAGAGGAGAATGAGATGATGCACCTCTTCTCTGTTTTCATTTAACTGGGTGTCCCATTAGAGGGAGATGCTTTGAAGCACATTTACATCTCGTGTTACTTTGTGATTTTGCTGCAGCCTGGTTAAGGGAACCTGATAATCACTTTTATTCACTCATGAGCTTCATGGTCCTAAACTGTAAATGTTTAAATCTGCTTTAGTTTTCTGCTGCGAAGGACCTTATCTTTTTCCTTCTATCTGATGTTAATCGGCAGATTCATTGGCCTAAGTGTTCATCGAGTGCTGTTAAACCACAAATGTCCAGAGGATCAATAAACCTGTCTGTTAATTTCGCCTAATGAGGATGGTGTGCTGCTCCTTCTAATCTTGGCTATTTAGCAGCAGTATGAAGAGACCAGTAATGATGGGTTCATTTTTCACCACATATGAACAGTGAACGTGCTGCTCAAGGTGGAGCCATCGCAGTTAAATTGGTCATAGTATTAAGAAAAATGAGCTTTAATTCTGTTTTATCACTGAACATTAGTTGTATGTTTTTATAACATGTTGCACTGATTATTGTTTGAAGGAAAAGTAGTTCATAGACTGATAAAGTGCATAGAAGCAGAAATAAATGAAATGGTTTGTTTTTATCATGATTACTACTAATTTGAAAAATGTGTCCTGGAACATACTGATAACTATGTAGCTGTAGCAATTTAATAAGTATGTTAAAAGGCCACAGGACCTGGTTGTATTTCTCCTTAATGGCTGCTCCACGTATCAACAACGAGATCGACCAGCTGATGAACCAGATGCAGCAGATCGAGACACAGCAGAGGAAGTTTAAGGCCTCCAGGGATAGTATTCTGTCAGAGATGAAGATGCTGAAGGAGAAGAGGCAGCAGTCTGAGAAGACCTTCATGCCCAAGGTTGTACATCTTCATTAACAATTGTTTACCATTCACCAGGCAATTAAACGAATTATTCCAGGCTGCTACAGAAAAGTCAGGAACATTTAGCGGTTTCCATGTTTGGGAAAAGTATGGAAAAATGTAACTGGACTATGGAAAACCATGGGCTTTTAGAGGCTTCTCCGCAGTTCATTTTCCAGACTATAAAAATCTGAGTAATTAAATATCTAATAGATTAATATAAACTGACAACAGCTGTAGCTGCTGGGATTCATTTTGATGTGATGTATTTCTTCTTTTCCCTTCAAGATCATAACTTCATCTTTAAAATTAACATGGTGACATGGTACAGAAATCTATTCCTACACCAAGTGTCACAGTTTGGTGTTGCTCTCCTGTCACAGGAGAATAATCCATAACAATCATGCATCGGTCCATGATGTTTTCAGCTTAAATCAGCTGCCAGCATCACTGTTATCAGTTCTAAGTTGCAATAAATGAATTGCCATTATGTCAAGATCTCCAGATTTAGCATCCTGAGATGATGAGATGCTGTGATTGAGGAAAAACTACATGCTGAAAATCGTCTTATCTGAAGATCACAAAACAATAAAACTGTTGTTGCTTCAAAAATCAGCTTGAGATCTGCTTTCCTCTAGATAGGATAATTATACAAGCTTACGGTCTTCTCCGCATCTAACAAGAAAATGAAATTGTCAAACACATGCGCTCCTTATCCAAGACAATGAGGCAAACAAGAGCTTGGGTGATTGTAGCTCAGGTGACAAAATTGGTTTTATGCACAGTGTTAATTACTGTTTGATACTAAACCCTAAATAATGTAAAAAGAAAAACGTATTAAAGCACGTTAAACGTTTGTACTTCCATGTGACAAATGGGTTGAAAATCGACTGAGATTTAAGTTTCTAAGTCAGGTGTTTTGAAATGAGTAAGAATGCGGAAAAACATCTGCTGTGAGCAGGTTTGTTGATTGTCCCTCTTGTTTTTCTTCAGCAACGTAGTCTCCAAAGTTTGGAGGCCAGCCTCCATGCCATGGAGTCAACCAGGGAGTCGCTGAAGGCCGAGCTTGGCACTGATCTGCTCTCTCAGCTCAGCCTGGAGGACCAGAGACGCGTTGATGACCTCAACGACGAGATCCGTCAGTTACAGCAGGTCAGGAGAAGCATGATCTATAACTGTACAAAGAAGCTCTGACACACACTTTGAATGATCTGCCAGTGGCCACCTGAAAATACATGCAGAACCTTCTGCTGCGTCCGGCTCCTGTGGATTAAATTACTTTTGTTCTGGAAACCCCTAGTTCTTTAGAACTACACTGCTCAAAAAAATAAAGGGAACCCTTAAACAACAATATAACTCCAAGTAAATCAAACTTCTGTGAAATCAAACTGTCCACTTAGGAAGCAACACTGATTGACAATCAATTTCACATGATGTTGTACAAATGGAATAGACAACAGGGGGAAGTCTTTGGCGATTAGCAAGACACACTCAATAAAGGAGTGGTTCTGCAGGTGGGGACCACAGACCACTTCTCAGTACCTATGCTTTCTGGCTGATGTTTTGGTCACTTTTGAATGTTG